CTTCCGATCTGTACCTTCGTCTCCAAATTAAACCCGTTTTCCTTTCCTCCGTTTTCCTTTCCTAAAACGGACTCGCGTTTAACAGCTATTCGTTTTCCTTCTTCCTCTCTCCATCAGCCCACCTTCCGCTTTTCTTTCCCAAACGGGTTTCTGTCCACTACATAGTTCGTTCTTTTTCTTCTCCCTCGAATATAAAAAAGGATCTTTCTTCCCCCCAAACATATAACTCACTGACTCCCGCAATTCCTCAATCTTATTACAGCACTCAAAGTGTCTGTTTTTCTCTTTATTGGCAATATTGGACATTTTCATTTCTGCCCCAAAAGTTTGTTTTCGTTCGGTCCATCTGGCTATCTGAACCATTTTCTTCTCCTTTAGTCTATTTTCCCCTTCCCCTCTCCCATTTTCGATCCTTTTGATTCTTCCTCAAATATTTAGCTTTTTCCTTCTTTCCAAATATCTGGCCTTCACGGGTTCCCTTAAATAGTTGATTCTTTCTTTTTCTCAAATACTTGATCCTTCTGCTTCTCCTTTAAATATTTAATTTCTTTCCTGCCACCTAAATATATGCCAAATAAGTTTCTCTGCAAATATTTAATTTCCTTTCGCGTCTTACTGGTTTCTCTCTAATCTCCCCCCTCCATCTTCTCCCACAAAATTTGGTAAGAACCTCTTTTCCCCCCCAGATTCTCTGGGATCCTCACCTATCTGCCCTCCCACCCGCATGTCCCTGCCCTCTGGACACTTCTCCCGTCGTGGGCTGAGTTTCCTGAGCTGGTTGGCAGGACCCCTGCACCTCAGCTTGCTTTCCCCAGTCCCCAGCACGAACACCGCCTGCTTCCACCCCCACCCACCCCTACCACCATAAACATGGGCAGGATTAGTGAGTTCAGGATTACTGAGCGCTGTGTCTTCTCTTTGAGCCCCACTAGGCTGGCCAGTCTCTCTGGGGAGGGGTGAGGGCTGGAGTTATAGCAGGAGTCTGGGCCAGGTGGGACTTTGGTCTGACTTGAGAGGTGCTCTCAATAACTGATTACCTATTTGTGTGCTGGGGAAGAAACGGTTCTCTTGGTGCTCTAGCAGGAAAGCCTTGTGCTTGCTGGGAACCAAACAGAAGGAGCATGCAGTCTGATCTTGGGTCTGAGATCTTATATCCCAAAAGAGACTGGGAGGGCCACTTGGCCACCAGAGCACACCCCCCCACACACCTGACCTGATCTAAGACCTACCAGAAAGGGTATTAGGCAGAGTCCAGCTACTGACTGGATGAATGGCAAGGGAAGATAGAGAATATCCAAGATTTTGGAAAAGCTGGGTGCAGAATAGGATCACTGTTTTGAGACCCCCTCAAGCCCAGGCAATGTTCAGGCCTCTCCAAGACAGCCAGCACGAACTGCCTTTCCCTTTGAGTGTTCAGGGCAGGGCCAGCATCTCCCGAGGTCTCCAGTGGCTGGGAATCCTCTGCCCAGTCTCAGGCCCAGGGATCCGGCTAACATGGGAGAGCCCTGAAAGGCCGCAGTACAACCCTAAGATTAAGGATGAAGTCAAAGGGGCTGGGGGTGGCCGCTTTGAGGGGCGTGAGGCGCCTAGCAGACGCTGGGTGGGTTGGACGCTGAGGTGGGAGGAGGGAGCGGGTCTGCTGGTGGGAGAGGAAAAGACTGAATGCAGTCTAAGCTGCGGCAGAGGCAGCTGGAGCCCGCTGCGTCGGTCCCCTTAGGCGCGCTCACCCGCACGCGCGGCTCGGTGAGGTTGGTCCACACTGCGATCTCCTCCCTCATGCTCATGTCGGGGTAGCGGTTCCTCTGGAACGTGGCTTCCAGCTCTTGCAATTGCTGGCTTGTGAAGTGCGTGCGTTGC